CGCCTGGGCGCCTGGGCGCGCGGAGCCCCCACGCTTGTGCCGCTTCCCACTTGGCGCGCTCCTCCATCTGGATGGGAAGTTGGGGAAGATGGACGGGGTCGCCTGGGCCTGGATCGCTCTCTTCTGGCTGACAGGTAAGACGCATTTCCTACCTGAGACGGGTCACTTCACAGATACTCCCGCAGTGGTGGTCTCGTCGCCACCCCCCGCCCCGCGCCCACCCCGCACCACCCCCACAGCCCGGTTGTGCCTAGAGCTGCTTAGCAGGCTGCTGGGAAGTGGGGGAGGGGCCGCGCGCGCCGTGTGTGTGTGTGTGTGTGTGTGTACATGGCTGACTGTCTTCTCTAATGCAGGGCGACGGGTGGGGGACGGGGCAGAAGCCCGGTTACAGGTGAGACGGGCAGATGCAGGTGTCTGAGCCCCTGGAGACGTCAGCCTGTTCTTTGGAACGCGCGTTACCCCGGCCTCGCAACCGTTCTTTCTCGTTTGAACCTGACTTTGTAAGGCTGGGAGAAGCCGAGGTGGACCAAACGGGGGCTCGCGGGAGACTGATTAATTAAGGGAACCGGTTTTCTGGAGGTGGCGGTGGAGGGGTGTCTCCTTAATTCCTTCCCTGGAGAAGCCTGGGGACCCAGGGACATTCTCGGGGAGCAGGAGAGCCGAGGCGAGGAGGGAGGTGGATGGAGGCTGGACTGGTTGTGGAGTTTAGGACCCTGCTGTCCCTTGGTACCATGTGGGGAGTGGTCCCATAGTTAGAGAAGACCCTTCCTCCTCCCGCCGATAAACAGGTTTCCCTCCCCCCAATAAAGGTAATTTGCAGAGATTCGGAAGGTTGGGCTCCTCCCAGCCTTCGGGCCACTTCCTGTCGCTGGCTCCTCCGGGTTTGCTGTCCTTTCCTCTGAACTTTCTCCTCACCCGGGGTCTGGGAAGGTCCTCGTTCCTAAGACAGTATCCCCACGCGACAGTTTGCAGGGTCGAGGGGCAGGTGGCCAGCACTGAGGGGTTCACAGAGTTGCGGGCTTGGGGCGAGGGTGTTAGGGAAGGTCTGGGTAGTTTGGATGCACCCCGAGACAGTGATTGAGGGGACCGAGTGAGGGAGGAAAGGCACAAGGGATCACACAGTTTGCGAGGACAGGATGGGGCAGTGAAGGGCAGGAGAGGAAACGGGAAATAGCACCCCAAAACAAAGTTCCGTCCCCTCCGGGGGCACGAACCAGAAGGTCTGGGAAAATTGAGCCAGCAGGAAGACGGGAGGAAGTTTAAACCATCTGAGGCGTCACTGAAGGAGGGTAAGATGCATCTAAGAAGGCAAAAGCCCTTCTCCTTCAGCTTCAGAATAGGGTTTTTTTCCTCTTCCAAAGGGAGGGCCCTAACTGGCTTTTGCCCACTGCCGGGTTTAGGTTGTGGGGGGCTCAGCAGAGTTAGCCTCTCCTCTTGGCTGCTCTGAGTTCATCCCTCCCACATTATTCAAATATGAATCATCTCTAATTTCAGGGTTTGGCGGATCCAGGCCGCCGCCCGCTCCCCCGGCCTCGCGGTGCCTGCCGCTTCCACCCTCATGCATTCTGAATGTCCTTAGTTTGCTTCTTCTCAGTTATCACACGCCAGGGGAACTTTGGCCTTGAGCCTGTGTCACGGCCTCCCCGAAGTCAGCCAGGCCTCTGGGGGAGGGTCCCTGAGTCAGGCCTCTAGGGGTTTGCAGGGAGTGGGAGCAGAAGGAGCCTACAGCCCTCGATAGATGGCTCACAGCTTCTGTTGAGATGGAATCGCATCGCTGGCAGGGACCACAGGCGACCTAGTTCGTCCCTCACTTTGTAGGAATGGAGGCCCACTGAGGTGCTAAGCGCACAGCCGAGGTGGGATGGAGCAGGGACCTCGGCTCGGTCCTCTGAAACCCAGGGCCAGCCCAGCTGGCGCTGTCCTCAGCTGCCTCTCTGGGTTTTTTGTTGTGGGGGGTTCTGCTTGGTTGTTTTGAGGGGTGGTGCCGCTTTGTCTGTGCCTTCTTCCATCTGCACCTGGAGAGGCCACCCCTGCTGAGAGCAGGCAACAGGTTAGTGATCAGGGCCACCAGCTGTCAGGTGGCTGGGCTTCTGTGCTCTGCAGGTGAGGCTGGTTCCTGGGTCCCACTGACCTGTGGCTGGCGGCCCCTGCCCCGAGCTTCTGCTTCGCCCCTCACCCATCCCAACTGTCCGTTGTCGCTGGGGCGCCGGACAAGCTGCTCTCAGCCCAAACAAAGTAGAAGCTCTAACAATGGCGGCTGGAAAGGAGGAGGGAGGAGAGGGAAGCAGTCAAGGATGCCACGGGTTCAGACTCACCTTTAACGGAGAAACCACGAGAGAGTGGTGAGAAATTTTAGTCCGGCCCAATCAATGAAGTCTCTCTTGAGGGGGTGGGAGAAAGGGAGGGAGAAAGGAAAGGACAGATTAAAAAATGAGTCACAGAGCCAGGAAAAAAACGTTCGCTCTCCCT